ACCTTTTAAAGAACTTCCAGGCTGTCTTCCAAAGTTGCTGTACTATTTTACATTCCCAATGGCCATATTTGAAGGTTCTGATTCTTGTATGTGCTTCCCAGTGCTTGGTTTTTTTGGGTTCCTTTGGATGGTTGGTTGGTTGGTTGGTTGGTTGGTTGGTTGGTTGGGGTTTTTTGTGACAGGGTCTTCCTGTAGTCCCAGCTTTCCTAAAACTCACTTTGTAGAGCAGGCTAGCCTTGCCTCACAAGAGATCCGCCTGCCTCTGCCTCCCAAGTGCTGGGATTAAAGGCATGTGCCACCATACCCGGCCTTCCCTACTTGTTTTTGACCCAAATCTTTTGTTATTGTTTTAAAGAGTGTAACCCTCTTCTGAAGTTCAGATGGAGCTTAGAACAGGGATGAGAGAGCATCAGGCCCTTCCTGCGCATGGCTTTTGCAGTGTTCCTGCCAGTAGGAAGCACCATTCCTAGTCAAGGCCACAGCCAACTCCTAATGCTGGGGATTTGCTCAACCCTCCTATGTATGGCTAGGTAATTCTTTGTGCACTTTTTGTATGCTCTCATTTGTAGCCCAGTCTAGCCTTGAACTTCCTGTTCTCCTGCCTGGTTTTAAATTACCATTAGACCGTTGTGTCACAAGACTACATCCTGTGGCAGTGTCAGGGTGAGGCCTTCTGAGGCTTGTTATGGCTCCCACTGCCTTACTGTCATTCCCCCAGAAACCTGAACCCCCAGCAGTCCTCTGTTCCCAAAATTCCTTTTAACAAAAACAAATAAACAGCTGGATATTGTGGCACATGGCCTTAATCCCTTAGTCCCAGCACTCAGGAGGCAGAGTTCAAAGCCAACCTGGTCTGTATAGAGAGTTCCAGACCAGCTGGGGCTACAGGGAGACCCTGTCTCAAAAAGACAAAAAAAAAACCCAAAAACAGGTAAACACAAGAAACCCTGCCAAGGGTTTCTCATGTTTTTCAAATATATTTTATTTATTATTTTTATTTTATGTGTATGAATATATTGCTTGCATGTATGTGAGTGCACCCGTGTTGTGCAGTGCTGCAGAGGTCAGAAGAGGGCGTTGGATTCCCCTGGAACTGGAGTTAAGGACTGTTCATAGCCACCATGTGGGTTCTGGGAATTGAACCCAGGTCCTCTGCAAGAGCAGTCAGTGCTCTTAACTGCTGAGCCATCTCTGCAGCCCCGGTTTCTCATGTTTAATTAAAGAAATTTCACCTACACCCATGTGTAGTTTGTTTTGTTTTGTTTGATGTCCTAGAGGTTTTTATGTCTGGACCTAGGCATGGTGGTAAAATTCTGAATGGATAAAAGGTGAGATTTGATTGTGTTTAGAAAGTGGGAGGGGGCATGTGAAATGGGAAAGGAATAACAGCAGGGTATCTGGAGTGGGGGGTAGGCGAATTCTCTGGTCTTTCTTAGGGAAAACTCCCTTAAAGCCTTCTCAGCTTGGTACACCCTTGCAAAGTCTTCAAGAAGCCCTAAGGGCATGCATACCCCAGTCTTAGACCACTGGTCTAAACAGGTTGGAATGTGGTTCAGAACTCCAAAAAGCAGCCTCAGCCAAAGGCTAGTTGAGACCTACAGGAGTGGTGTTTGGGTGCAGTTTAAAGCTGTGAGAGTGCAGACAGAGATAATGGAGAGGTATTTGGAGGTGCTTCTCATCTAAGGAATAAGCAGAGGAAGAAGAGATAGAGAAGTCAGGTGTAGAGAAAGCCCCACTGACGTGGAAAGTTGTAAGGGTGGGTGTTTGCTCTCTAAGGTAGCCAACCATGTAGAGCAGAAGGGGATGTCAGAGAGAGGGATCTGAAAGACTGCCTGCCACTGCACGAACATTCTCCTGCCACCACTGCTTGTTGTGGAACCCATTTAGTTTTGAGTTTAGAGTACAAGACAGTTCTCTTCCTCACCTTTGTTCCTAACCCCATATACAAGCAATCTCCCTACCAAGGGTTACTGCAGTTAATGGTGGTTTCCTTCTGTCCTTTCAGGCAGATATGTGCTCCACCTTCAACTTATGCCAAGGTGTTTTTCCTATGGACTGGACAGAGGAGACACCTAAACCAGTAGAAAGTCCTAGGACTGGGGATCCTGTAGTGATCCCCTCACCTTTCTTTAGTTCTAAAGAGATTGTTCAGTAGATAAAGGTGCTTTCCACCAAGTTCCAGAACCAATGTGATGGAAGGAGAGAACCAACTCCTGCAGGTTGTTCTCTGACCTCCCCACATGCACCATGCCCTCTACCCAATGCAAAATAAATAATTGGGGGGGGGGCTTTTTGAGACACAGTCCCCCTGTAGCCCCAGCTGGCCTCAAACTCACAGAGATCCGCCTGCCTCTGCCTCCTGAGTGCTGGGACTAAAGGCATGTGCCACCACACCTGGCACAAAATAATTTTTTTCAAAGTTATGAAGAAGAAAATATAACAGCAGAATTGTAGTAGAATGATAGTGGCAGACAAAGAATAGATGTGATGAGAATTGGAATTGGGTATATGATTACTTGGGTAAGGACTAACTGTCTTCTGAGAAACCTATCCTGGGAGGGAAAGTGAGGTGAAGGATAGAGTATAGGGGCAAGAGAAGCAGTTAGTGCTCTTGGAATTGTGGCCCTATAAGATACCCAGAGACAGAAGGGAAGAATTCACAGAAGAGTCTACAAATACAGGACCAAAGATAATGCAGAGAATGAGCTAAGGAAACATGAAGAGGAAATGGGGTGCCAAGAGCAGCCATCTAGAGGAAGAGGAGCATGCGTGTCAGAGTCACCACATGATTTCTGGGACCCTCTCCTATGATCCCTAAATCAGCTCTGTATGTACAGTCGTAACGTGGGAACACGCTAATCTAAAAATGTGTATATTTCCTCTATGATTTTCATTTTCTTTTGAAATATTTTTAGCCAGATATGATAGCATACACCTTTAAGCCCAGCACTTGGGAGACAGACAGGCAGATCTCTGTGAGTTAAGATCAGCATAGTCTACATAGCCCATTCCAAGTGAGCAGGGCTAAATAGTGAGACTTTGTCTCAAAAAATAATTTTTTTATTACATTTGTTGAGTTAGTTCATGCATATGTGTACACTGACCTTTTTTTTTTTTTTACTTTTTTTTTACTTTTTTTGTTTGTTTTTGTTTTCTTGAGGCAGGGTTTCCCTGTAGCTCCAGCTGGCATAGAACTTGCTATATAGATCAGGCTAGCCTCCATCTCACAGAGATCCACCTGCCCTGCCTCTCAAGTGCTAGTATTAAAGGTGTTTGCCCGACTTCTCTTTAATTTTTTTCAGATTACTTTTATTTAGTTATTGTGCCATTTTCCTTTAATCGTTTAAACTTTTAGCTATGTCTGCTTTTTAAAAATAAGATTGTTTAGCAGGGTGTGGTAGCACATGCCTTTAATCCCAGCCCTAGGGAGGTAGAGGCAGGCGATCTCTGAGTTCAAGGTCAGCCTGGTCTACAGGCTACAGAGAGACCCTGTCTCATAAAAAGACCAAAAAAAAGAAAAAAAAAATTTTGTGTGTGTGTGGCATATACATGTTTTTAGTGTATGTCTGGGTACATGCCCTTGTGCCTGTGTGTGCATAAGCCAGAAGTCAATGTCAGGTGTCTTCCTCCCTCTGTACTTTAACTATTGATACAAGGTTTCTCACTGAACCTGGAACTTAGCAATTCGGTAGGCTGGCTGGCCAGGTGAGCCCTGTGATCCCTCATATCTTCACCATGCCACTGTGCCCAGTTTGTGCGTGCGTGCGTGCGTGCGTGCGTGTGTGTGTGTGTGTGTGTGTTGGAAATCCAAACTTAGGTCCTTATGATTGTGCAGTAAGCACCTTATCCACTGAGCCATCTCCCCAGTCTCCACCTCTGCTTTTAAGCCACCTCACCCTTGAGACTGATCTCTTGACCTGCCTAATCTTTTCTACCTTGTGTTTCGGCTGCAGTACTCATTTTCCATCATCTAGTCCCGTGGACTTTCTTTCTGTATCACCCATCCTTTAACTTTTACTCTAAAATGTTCATTTCAGTGTTCCATTATGTTATCTGTAGTAATGTTCAATTTAAGACAGCTTGCTAGTTAAGTTTGCATTGTAGGAAGTCAGTATTTAGTATTTGAAGATACCTTCCTCTGTTTAGACTGCTATAACAGTATAATAGACTGGGTGGCTCAAAAACAAATTTATTTCTCATGGTTCTGGAAGCTGGGAAAACAAAATCAGTGTTCGAATAGATTCTGTGTCTGGTGAGGCCCTCATCCTGGTTTGTAGATGGTGATGGTCCCATTGGAGCCATACTTATTTTTGAGGGAAGAGTCACTAAGGTTTCCGTGTATTTTGTTTCTTTGTTTTTTATTTTTTAAATTTTTTTTTTACTATTTTATTTATTATTTTTATTTTTATGTGTATGAGTGTATTGCCTGCATGTATGTGAGTGCACCCGTGTCGTGCCATGGAGGTCAGAAGAGGGCTTCGGATTCCCCTGGAACTGGAGTTAAGGTTCATAGCCATCATGTGGGTGCTGGGAATCGAATCTGGGTCCTCTGCAAGAGCAGTCAGTGCTCTTAACCACTGAGCCATCTCTCTAGCCCCTCTTTGTTTTTTTAAAGGTGTGTGTGTGTGTGTGTGTGTGTCTGTGTGTGTGTGTGTGTATACACACATGTATATGTGAGCACCCACGAAGGCCAGAAGACATTGAATTCCTTGGAGCTGGAGTTAAAGACATTTGTGAGCTGCCTGATATGTGTGCTGGGATCTAACTCAGGTCCTCTGAACTGAGTAAGCCATTCTAACAGCTGAGCCGTCTCCTCTATCTTTATATAGCCCCTAATCTCCTTGTTGAATCTACTCTCTCCACCTAATTGCCTCCCAAAGGCTTGCCTCCTAATGCCATGGCATTGGTAGTAAGGATTTGGGGTGGAACATAGTCTACACTAATGACTACAGCTATATTTTCTCATAGTAATTAAATTTTATGTTTGGGTCTTCTTTTAGGTTTAGCATGAGCTTTAACAGACATAACCTGAAATATTATGTGTTACCAAAAAAGCCTAAAAAAGTGGCATTTGATTGCTTAGAATGGATCAGAAAGCATCACCCATGTGAGTACAGCCATGTAATGAATTATGTCCAAAAGTAGTAGATAAAAGGTCTTTTCAGTACTGCACTACAATAGATTATATAAAATTGCATATTAAACATTCCTTTTTGCATTATGATAGCACTAACTTGCTATTTATGGGGAATATTATAATTTTGAAATTTCATTTGGTTAAATAACAATATATCCTAACAAAACTATATTAAATATGCCCTCCTACACACCTGCATTATAACTCTTGGTTTCAGTATCTTTTTTCTGGCTTCTCTCAGTGTATGAATAACACAGTCCTTTGTTTCAGTGCCTTCTCCCAAGTGTGCTTGCTTTTGTATTATGCTAACTAAAATGAGATTCTCACTTTCATGCAATTTTCCACGTAACCCATTTTCAACATCTTAGGCATTTTTCCATGGCCTTTATAAACTTAGAAAATACTTTTAATAGTTACAGTATATTTATTTCACAGTCCCCTATCTTAATTATTTGCATATGTTGCCCATTGAGCTTCTGTCTTTAAAATATATATATTATGACAGGGTCCTGCTATGCAGCTCTGGCTGGCCTGAAACTCACTGTGTAGACCAGGCTAGCCTCACAGAGATCCACCTGTCTCTGCCTCCCAAGGCCTGAGATTAAAGGCATATCACCATGCCCAGCTCCCAGCTCTTACCAAAATTTTTAGTGTGAGTCTTCAAATCATTTTATTTCCTGTGTTAGTTTCCTAGAAGGGAACTGAGTTAAGAGGTGTTTATCGGGCTCTTAATAACTTATGTCATACATTTCTACAAAATTTCTATCTGGTGGCTCGCAGTTGTAAAGCCAGTATGAAATGGAGCCCAGATTAGTCTAGGTTGCCTTCCCAGGAACAGTATTAAAAATCCAATCTTATTTCCACAGTGTTCATGAATCCCTTGCTTGAACTATTCTGTATGATCATTCTGTTTATAAGAATGCTATAGAGATCTATTTATGGTTCATATATTTCTGAAAACATGATGTAAATTGTATTGTTATTTAAGTTAAAAGTCTCATTTCTTGCCGGGTGTGGTGGCACACGCCTTTAATCACAGCACTTAGGGAGGCAGAGGCAGAGGCAGGTGGATCTCTGTGAGTTCAAGGCCAGCCTGGTCTACATAGTGAGTTCCAGGACAGCTGGAGCTACAGGGAGATGCTGTCTCAAAAAAGACCAAAAAAAAAAAAAAGTCTCATTTCTTAATACTGTTTTGGTTTCTTGGCAGATGACTCAGGGATAATTTACTGCCTCTCAAGGCGGGAATGTGACACAATGGCTGACACCTTACAGAAAGATGGTCTTGCTGCTCTGGCTTACCATGCTGGCCTCAGTGATTCTGCCAGAGATGCAGTGCAGCACAAGTGGATCAATCAAGACGGCTGCCAGGTGACACTTGTAGAAATCAGCAAACGTGAACATGGAATGCAATTTTTGTTTTCTTTTTTTTTTTTTTTTTTTTTTTTTGAAACAGGGTCTCCTGTAGCCCCAGCTGTCCTGGAACTCACTATGTAGACCAGGCTGGCCTTGAACTCACAGAGATCCACCTGCCTCTGCCTCTGCCTCGTAGCTGCCATGTGAGCGCTGGGAATCGAACCCAGGTCCTCTGTAAGAGCAGTCAGTGCTCTTAACTGCTGAGTCATCTCTCCAGCCCCTGTTTTCTTTCTTTTTTTTGAAACTGAGTCTTGCTCTGAAGTTGAGGCCAGCCTCAAACTTACAACAGCAACCTTCCTGTATCCACCTCCTACCTGGTTTGCTTTTTGTAAATTAATTTTTTGTAATTAATTTCTATGTGTGTAGCATGTGTATGCCTTGCTGCATGTTGTGTAGAGATCAGAAGACAACACAGAAGTCAGTTCTTTTCTACCATGTGGATCCTGGGGATCAAACTCAGGTCATCAGACTTGGTGACAAACACCTTTGTTTGGTGAGCCATCTTGCCAGCCCCTGGCTTGTTTTTAATCTTAAAGATAAGCAGCGGGCTGGAGGGATGGCTCAGTGGAGGCTGAGGCAAGAGGTTTGCCCAAGAGTCCAGACCAGGCTGAACTACTGTGTGAGATCCTGCTTTGAAAACAAAGGAAAGAAAAAAATGTTTTTCAGATATACAAAAAGTTCAGAAAATTTCATTGATTTATCTTCACTGAAATAAATATAGACTCCAATCTTCCCAGATGGTCCTGTATATGTAGGGGAAGGGGGAACACACGTGAGTGCTAATGCCCTCGGAGTTCAGAGAGGTATTGAATTACCTTGGAGCTAAAGTTACAGGTGGTTATGAACCACCCTATGTGAGTGCTGAAAACTGAACTCAGGTCCTCTGCAAGAGCAGTATACATTTTTGGTTGTTTTTTTGGGGGGGGGGTGTTTTGTTTTGTCTTTTTGAGACAGGGTCTTCCTGTACCCATAGCTGGCCTGGAACTCATTATATAGACCAGACTGACTGAACTCACAGAGATCTCCCAGTGCTAGAATTAAAGGCATGCACCACCACACCTAAGCATTATACACTTTTAACCATTGAGCCATCTCTCTGGTCTCTAAAATAGATATTCTTGAAAACAGATTTTTCAAGCTCCTGAAATTGGCTCTTGTGTTTTGTTTTTATGGCTTTTGTTGTTTCATTTTGTTTTTGTATAAGCAGTTCAGACTTTTATCTGCAGTTAAAATTTCATAAGCTTTGACTTTGAAATCAGCTGTTGAATAAGTCAATAAATGATTAATTAGTCCATGTGGAAAGAACTGGAGCAGGTGGGAATGTCATTGTTCCTAAGTATGTGAGGAACTAGCAGCAATTATTTCTGAGGTTTGCAGGTGCCTTCCTGGAACACAAGAGGATGTTGCTTATAGACCTTAACCTGGATGCCATGGCTATGTAAGCATCCCACCATATATCCATATCAGAAACAGGGGTCAAATACTGTAGCACACAAAGGGCTGTAGCACACAAAGGGCTGATCGCAATTGATTCTGATTCCTTCGCATGATAATACCAAGTCACAAGAAAGAGCCTGCCACCCTGAGCATGCTTTACCTTCTTAGGTTGAATAGAATTGCAAGTTAGTGATATGAAAATCTCACCTTAGTCATGCTAAATACTGGGAACAAATTTAAGATATCAGGTTGTTGCTGGGTATAGTGGTGCTTGCCTATAATCCCAGCACTTGGGAGACAGAGGCAGGCTGATCTCTGTGAATTCTAGGCCAGCCTGGTCTACATAGAGAGTTCCAAGAGACCTGGGGCTACAAGGAGAAGTAGATAGGAGTATCTATTATTATAACATTCCTTTAAATGCATTGTGAATCTAATAGGCTTTTTTAAATTTCGTATCAGGTTATTTGTGCAACAATTGCATTTGGAATGGGAATTGACAAACCTGATGTGAGATTTGTGATTCATGCATCTCTACCTAAATCTGTGGAGGGTTACTACCAAGAATCTGGAAGAGCTGGAAGGGATGGGGAAATATCCCACTGTGTGCTGTTCTATGCCTATCATGATGTGACCAGACTGAAGAGACTTATAATGAGTAAGCCAAGAGCTACTGACTACATTCTGTCATATTCCACCCCATGAAAGCAGTCTATGCCTACTATTATGGTACATGGGTCCTGTTTTCATTATATAGTCATAGAAAAATAGAGGCATTTAATATATTTTGGAAATTTTATTTTTGTTTATTATACAAATAACACATGCTTGTTTGATAAAATCAAATGATAAACATGTGCACAAAGCAGAAATTTCTACACCAGGCCTTCCTAAACTTCCCCAAGGAAAAAGTCAGGATACTGGTTTCCTTTATGTCTTTCCAGGTCTGATTTTTTCATGCACCCTTACATATAACATACATTTCCAAGAAAAATAAAAAAGAGAAAATAATGAAGTTTCATGTACCACATTCCAATTTTTTGTCTTTTTTGTGTGGGGGGGTGTGGGTGTTTTGCCTACATGTAAGTGCACCACATGCATACGGTGCCCATGGAGGCCAGAAGAGGGCATTGGATCCCTTGGAACTGTAGTTACAGATGGTTTTTAGTCACCATCTGGGTACTGGGAACAGGAATCTGGGTTCTCCATAAGAGCAGCCAGTGCTCTTAAACTGCTGAGCCGTTTCTCCAGCCCCAAGTTTTTTTCCTTTTTTTTTTTTTTTTTTTTTTTTTTTTTTTTTTTTTCTTTTACAATATACGTGCATTATTTCTATAATAAAAAGATAGCAAAGTTACTTTTATTTTGAACTCTTTAGTTGTTGCCCCCCAAAATATGATAATTCTGAAATTCTGAAAAATTCAACTCTCTGTGGCCCTTTTCTCAACTACCATGCTTGGCTTATTTTTATTTTTAAGCACGGGCATTAAGGGAGAGAGAAGAGCTTACAAAAAGGATAGTACACACTTAAGCTATAGGTGCAGGCTGGGAGGGGGGATTCTTGATTCTTTTGTTTGTTTGTTTTTGAGACAGGGTCTCCCTGTAGCCCCAGCTGTCCTGGAACTGACAGAGATCTGCCTGCCTCTGCCTCCTGAGTGCTGGGATTAAAGGTATGCGCCATCATGCCCAACCCAAATCTTTTTCTTAATTGCACTTATTTGTTGTGAGGGCAATTGGCAAGGGGTGAATGTTTTTTAAACAGTAGAGATCAGAAAGCAACTTATGGAAATCCGTTCTCTCCTCCACCATGTGGATCCCAGGGATCTCACCAGCACCCCCTCCCTTTTCATTTTTTTGATTGTTTGTTTGTATGTTTTGGTCTTTTTGAGACAGGGTCTCTCTGTAGCCCCAGCTGCCTTGGAACTCTCAATGTAGACCAAGCTGGCTCCAAACTCACAGAGATTTGCCTGCCTCTGCCTCCCAAGTGCTGGGATTAAAGGCATGTACCACCACACCTAGCTATTCTTTTTTTTTTTTTTTGAGATAGGGTCTCCCTGTAACCCCAGCTCGCCTGGAAGTCACTATGGAGCCAGGCAGGCCTCTGTTTCACAGAGATCTGCCTGCCTCTGCCTCCTGAGTGCTGGGATTAAAGATGTGCACCACCATGCCTGGCTCTATTGAATTTTTAATGTTGCTATCTTTATGAGCTCAAGAAATAAAAGTCTAGTCTTGTAGTATGGGGTGGTGGCAGTCTCAGCTGGAAGCCAGCCTTATAATCACAAGGGTCAGCAACCAGCACTGTATGGTAGGCTGTGCTGCTAACCAAGATCTTCAGTAGGTTAGATGCATTAAGTGCATTGTCACATGTGTGATATTTTCACCTTACGATGGGTTTATCAAGATATGACTTTTCATAACTCAAATAATATTTATATTGGTAAGCCCAAACAAGTTAATAAGTATTTAAATCATGATAACCTAGCAACCAATTGAAAAAATAATACTCATAATGTGGAAGAAAAAAGTAATTATATTCTTAAGTAACCATGATTATCTGTTAATAGAAAATGCACACCTGAGCTAGAGAGATGGCTCAGCAGTTAAGAACACTGAATGTTCTGCAGAAGTCCCAGGTTTGATTCCCAGCACCCACAGAGCAGCTAACAACTATCTGTAACTCCAGTTCCAGGGGATCCAATGCCCTCTTCTGACCTCTGCAGGCATTGTACAACATGAGTGCACTTCCATATATGTAGGTAATACACCCATACACATAAAATAAAAATAATAAAATAAAATTTTTAAAAAATGCACACCTGCTTTTAAATTTTTATTACATTGTGCTGGGTGTGGTGGTGCACACCTTTAATCCCAGCACTTGGGAGACAGAGGCAGATGGACCTCTGTGAAGTTTGAGGCCAGCCTGGTCTCCATAATGAATCTAGGCCAGTTGTGGCTACAGGGAGACCCTGTCCCAAAAAGACAGGAGGAAAGAGAGAGAGAGAGAGAGAATTCAGTTTAAAAACAACATTCTATGGCATGGTAGCTCATTCCAGTAATCCCAGCACTTCAGAAGCTAAGGGAAGAGGACTACACAGGTTGAAGGCCCACCAAGGCTATAGTGTATAACTGTGCCTCAAAAAACAAAAAGAAAGAAAGAAGGAGGGGGAAAATCTAACATTCCTGTAAAATTAAAACCTTGAGTAATTTTCTTTTTATTTTTATATACATGAGTGTTTTGCCTGCATGTGTGTAAGTGCATCTGTGTCATGTAATGCCTATGAAGGCCAGAAGAGGGCATTAGGTCTCCTGGTACTGGATTAACGGCAGTTATGAGCCATTTTGTGGGTGGGTGCTGGGATCTGAACCCAGGTTCTTCTGTAAGAGCAGCCAGTGCTCAACTGCTAAGCTACATATCTAGCCCATAATTTTCTTATTTAATATTTAAATCTATCAGGGCATGATAGCACATGCCTATAATCCCAGTGCTCAGGAAACTGAGGCAACAGGATTATTTAAGCCCAAACAACCATAGCATGACCTTGTCCTTAAAAAAGAAAAAGTTATAGGAATCTATTCTAAATATAGCTTTTATATTTGCTTAGTTTTCAATTGTAGTAATTATATTTTTACTATGCTCTTCATCTCTTTTAGCGGAAAAAGATGGAAATTATCATACAAAAGAGACTCACTTCAATAATTTGTATAGCATGGTACATTACTGTGAAAATATAACAGAATGCAGAAGAATACAGCTTTTGGCTTACTTTGGGGAAAATGGATTTGACCCTGATTTTTGTAAGAAATACCCAGATGTTTCTTGTGACAATTGCTGTAAAACAAAGGTAAAATAAGACTTTTTTTTTTTTTTTTTTTTTAAATTTTTTTGAGACAGGGTCTTCCTATAGCCCCAGTTGGCCTGGAACTCACTATGTAGACCAGGCTGACCTTGAACTCACAGAGATCCACCTGCCTTTGCCTCCCAAGTGCTGGGACTAAAGGTGAACAACACCACGCCCGGCTTAATAAGACATTTTTTAATGACATAATAATTAAGGAAATTGCCAACATGTGTTGTTCTCAATTTTTAAAAAGTAGGTCAGATATGGTAGTGCGTGTTTATAATCCCAGTACTTGGGAGGCAGGAGGATTAGAAAATTCAAGGATATCCTTGGCTATACAGTGAGTTTAAGGCCAACCTGAGCTTACATGAAACCCTGTCTTAAAAAATAAATAAAATAAAAATAAGAAAGATCAACATGTGCAAGTGGGATATTTTAAATTCAACTATAACCTATGTTTAGAGATCTCATCCTCAAAACAGTAGTAATAATATATATTGTGTTTGAAAAAGCACTTGTTTGTATAACTGTAAAGAACGGACGTGGTAATGTAATCCCAACAGTTAAGAGACTGAAACAAGGAGGTCAGAGAATTTAAGACCAGCCTGGGATACATTGTGTGATCATGTCTTAAAAAAAGAATAAGGACATGGTCCTGGATAATTTTGGTATTGTCTGCCCTAAAATAACCCAGGGAGCTGCTAAATTCGTGCATTACATGCTTATTGTGCTTCTGACCGTTTTACACACATAACTTCCCCTATACTGGGATTGATCCTCGAGCCTCAAGCATGCTAGGCACGTGCTCTGCCAAAAAACTATATCCCCATGCCACCACCACCCCCTTTTGAAAAAAACAACATCTTTAATTGTGAACTTGACACAGTCTGGAGTCACCTGAGAAGGCAGCCTTAATTGAGGGATTCCCCCGGATCAGATTAGCCTGTGTCATTTCTGTTAAGGATTGTCTTGTGAATTGATGCAGGAAGATCTAGCTCACTGTCAGCAGCATCTTTCTCTAAACAGGTGGTCTTGGGCTGTACAAAGAATCTAGCTAAGCATGAACCTGCAAGCACGCCAGCAAGCAGCGTTCCTTTGTGGTTTCTGCTTCAAGCCCCTGCTTGAGTTCCTGCCCTTACTTCCCTTATTAATGAACTAACCAGTAAGGTTAAATAAACCTTTTCCTCCCCTAAGTTGCTTTAGGTTGGAGTGTTTTATCACGCCAATAGAAATCAAACTAGATAGTAGCCCAGACTGTCTTGGAACTCATTAAGTAGCCCAGGCTGGTCTCAAGCCTGCAGTGATCCTCCTGTCTCAGATTCCATGTATTGAGATTGCAGACATGAGCCACCACACCTGGCATATAGTTTCCTGTTTTAATGTTTGTGATGCCTTACTAGATACAGAACATTTGCACACTGGGTATATTATTTAAAATATCTTCAGTGTACTGGGACCAAGTCATAGCCTAGAAGGGAGGCAGACATATAATACTGTATAATGAGTAGTGCTAAAGCTATGCAGCGCTAGACAGAGCAGAGGGTAATTTACTCTTGGTGTGGAATCTACAGATTCATGACCTTCTCCATCCACCTTACCCTAGAAACATTGCTAATCAGTTCTCACAGTCAGCAGGTATTTGTTGAGTACCTGCTCTATAACAGGCTCTGGTCTAGGAATTTAGGATACATGTTAATATAGAAGACTAGGGTAAATGAAGGCCCAAGGATCATTTAAAAGGTGGGAGAATTGGGGGACAGCTGAGGAAAATGAGAAGAGGAACTAGAGGAAGATGGTTTTTGTTTTTTGTTTTTGAGACCGTCTCACTATGTAACCCTGTCTGTCCTGAAACTTGCTATGTAGAACATGCTGGCCTCAAACTCAGAGAGCTCTACCTGCCTCTGCCTCCAGAGTGCTAGAATTAAAGGCATATACCACCATTTCAGCTTGAATTTGAATTTTTTCCCTGCCTGAAGCTATTGCCTTGAAGGCTGGCTGCCAAGTGGAGATGCTGTTTGGGAGATGCTGGGGACAGAGAAGGAGGGGTCTAGTTGGAGGAAGTTAAGTCACAGGGTTGTGTCTTCCCTGGCCTCTTCCTGTCTTTCTCTGTTTCCTGTCCACCATGAGGTAAGCAGCCTTTGCCATGGGCTCCCACTGCCATGATGCTTTCACCACAGGCTAGAATCAAAGGAGCCACAGATGACAGGTATGGTTGACTATGGCACCAAAGACTGAAAAGAGAATAAAATGCATGAATTGCACTGTTTCACCCTAAAGGTCATAACCTCGTGAGGGACAAAGCACTGTTCTAGGAGGTGTGAGGGACTTTTTTTTTTTCCTATCCACGGAGTGCTCTTAGGTAGTTGAAAGACAAGATATGTGTCTGTGAAGCAGCAGTAACCTATCTAGAATAGAGGGCTCGTTATTCTAGAGTTTAAACAACAATGGACATTTTATATTTGAGACAGGGTTTCTATGTGGCCCTAGGTGACCTGGAACTTGCTATGTAGACCAGGCTGGCCTCAGTCTCACAAAGATCCACCTGCCTCTGCCTCCCAAGTCCTGGAATTAAAAGCATACACCACCACACCCAGCTAGGAATAAACCTTTGAAATTTTAGTTTTTATTCTTACTTTTCATATGGAAATGAGTTGTTATGAGTCTTACCACAGTTAATATTAAGATCTTATAACTTGGCTCTCATTATCTTAATTATAGCAGAAGATAATCTTTTTATTCATAGGATTATAAAACAAGAGATGTGACTGATGATGTGAAAAATATTGTAAGATTTGTTCAAGAACACAGTTTATCACCAGGGACAAGAAATATAAGTCCTTCTGGAAGATTCACTATGAATATGCTTGTTGACATTTTCTTGGGTAAGTCATTATCTGCTTTAGTGTTTGAATTCCATTAGTTGAAATTAAACATCTAAAGAATTGACTTCAAGTATATTTTTAGATATTTCATTTATTCTTTTTATTTTATTTGATGTGTATGAGTGTATTTTCTGCATGTATGTAAGTGTACCCATGTCATACAATATCTGTGGAGGTCAGATGAGGGCATCAGATCCCCTGGAACTGGAATTATAGCCTGTTGTTAGCCCATGTTGGTGCTAGGAACTGAACCCAGGTCCTGCAAAAGCAGTCATGCTCTTAACTGCTGAGCCATCTCTCCAGCCCACTCCTGGCTTTATATACCATCTTAATAGGAGATGGAGAGAAGGTAAGGGAATTGATAGAACAGTTGACTTTTAGGAAGATTAATGGGCCCTTAGGAAACTACAGAGGACAGTGGCAGTGTCTGTTTAAGTGAGGTATGGAAACTTCTCATCTCTGCTTATAAGATCAGCCTTCCTTAATTTTTTGTTTTGATTTGTGTATTAGTCACTTTTCTGTTGCTGTGATAGAAACCCTGACCAAAACAATTTATAGAAGGAAGAGTTTATGGTTCCAGGGGAATTACAGTCCGTCATGACAAGGAGGCATGGTGGCTGGAGGTGGCTGGAGCAGAAGCAGCAGAAGCTAAGCTCTCACATCATCACACAGGCACAGGAAGCAAGAGAGCAACTGGAGATCTGGCAAGGCTAAAGAATTCTCTAAGCCCACCCCCAGTGACATGCTTCCTCCAGGATAGCCACACCTTCTAAAACCTCCCAAAACAGCGCCATCATCTGGGGACAAAATGTCCAAATACTTGGAGCCTATTGGGGACATTTTCATTCAAACCACCACAGTTTGGTTTTTGGAAGGAATTGATGACAAGTGAGTTCTTTTAGATTGACTTTGTTTTTTGGCAGATAAAGGATTTCAGAAAGTCAGATGCCTTTTGCTTAAATTTTTATGCCATAATGGCATATTGAGGAGTCCTTCAGAGACACTCCTGAAAGCTTTAGAAGGATAAAATAGGAGCTAAAACCAGACTGGCATTAGGTGAATATCAGCAACCCTGGAAGACTAGAAGACTAAGAAAGACGGTACATAGTAGCACTGACCCATGGGCCCAGTAAGAAGGGCCCTAATCTCAGCTGTGCAGCTGGACTGGAAAGTAATCTATCCAGATTACAATGGAAAGTCAAGAACAGGTCCCAGCCAGCAAATAGAGAGTAAGAGCTGAGGTGAGGCAGGAGTATCAAAAGTTCAGGTTCATCCTCAGTTGCATAGCGAATTTGAGGCCAGTCTGGTCTATATAAGACCCCATCTCAAAAAAAAAGTAAGAGTTTTGTTTCTTGTTTTGTTTTGTGCTTTTTATACAATATGGTTTGATGACTCTTAGATCCCCTCTCCCTCCATGCCCCCACTGCCCCCCTCCCAATTTAATGAGCTCTCATATATATAAAATGTGGCCTATAGAGTATCATTTGGGTTTTTTATTTTTTTAGTCTTTTTGAGACAGGGTTTTCCTGTAGCCCTAGATAGCCTGGAACTCACTATGTAGACCAGGCTGGCCTTAAACGCACAGAGATCAGCCTGCCTCCTGAGTGCTGGGATTAAAGGCGTTCCACCACGCCCGGCAATAGAGTATGATATTTGTCCCCAATGTCCTTCAGTGTGGTTTCATCCACTGGGCCCACCAAGAATCCCATCCCAGTAAGACACTGTCTCTCCTGCTCTCAGCAGCCATCAGTTCCCAAAAGTTTCTTAGGCTGGGTTGGGATTTCTTACTCCTCCATGTCTGTGATGGGGTTTTGTCTGGTTTGAGCCTGCACAGGACTTGTGCATGCTATCACCATTGCTATGAGTTCATATGAGTAAATGACCAGCTGTCTGGAAGACTGTTTCCTTGTGGTCATCCACCCCCTCTGGGTCTTACAATCTTTCTGCCTCCTCTTCCACAATGATCCCTGAGCCTTGGTAGGCAGAGGTTTGAAATAGCTGTCCTATTCAGTGATAAGTACTCTGCAGCCTTTTGTTCTTGGTACATTGGCTAATTGTGGGTCTCTGTGTTACTGGTTTTTGTTTTTTGAGACAGGATCTTACTATGTAGCCCTGCTGGCCTCAAACTCACAGAGTTCTGCCTGCCTCTGCCTCCCAAGTGCTAGGATTAAAGCCATATACTGTTGCACCCAGCAAGATTTTTTTTTTTTTTGACACGGCTCTTACTATGTAGCCCTAGTTGGCCTGAAACTTGCTATTTAGACCAGGCCTAGCCTGGGACTCAAAAAGATCTGCCTGCCTCTGCCACCATACCTGGCTAGAATTTAACAGTAAATGATTTTTTTTATGATTTAACAGTGAATAACACAAATATTATTTCTCAACAAAAAGGGGCAAAATTAGAATTCTAAGGGAATTAGAATTCTAAGGGAGACATTACATAAAAGAACCAAGATCAATCAAATATAAAATAGACAGTTGTAACATGATTTTTTTTTTTTTTTTTTTTTTTTTGAGACAGGATTTCCCTGTAGCCCCAGCTGGCCTGGAACTCACTAGGTAGACAAGGGTGGCCTTGAACTCCCCCTGGGATTAAAGGGATATGGCACCATGCCCAGCATAACACAATTTTAAATAAATGAGGAGAAGAAGAATGATCCATTTATGCAGTAAGCTTTCTCCATTGGGTTGCAAGAACATTGTTTTAAGTAGAGAAGGAAGCTTGTCATAATGTAAGCAGTTCTAATCCATACAGACTTAACCATGGTCACAGAACAAGGCAGGATATAAATGCCAATTTCAATGATATAAAAATAAGGTACTATTAATAGGTCAGTCATGGTGGCACACGCCTTTAATCCCAGCACTCGGAGGCAGACACAGGTGGATCTCTGAGTTCAAAGCCAGCTAGGGCTACAGGAAGACCGGGTCTCAAACAGACCAACAAAAAAGAAGTGTGAGGATACTTCCGGTCATCATAACTTCTTTTTTTTATTTTATTTTATGTGTATGTGTATTGCCTTCATGTAGGTAAGTGCACCCGTGTGGTGCAGTGCCCTCAAAGGACAGACGAGGCTGTTGGATCCCCTGGAACTGGAGTTACAGACAGTTGTTAGCTGCCATGTAGGTGCTAGGATTCGAACCCAGGTCTTTTACAAGAACAACCAGTGTTCTGAGCCATCTCTCCAGCCCCTCATTATAGCTTCTTACATGTAATAGTAGGAAAGAAAGAGGCCAGTTTGGTCTAAACTACAAAAACAGTCAATAGATGAGCCAGTAGTATATCTTTGAAGGTGTAGACAGTTAGTAAATAGATGTCACATAGTGATTCCAGCTGGTGGGAGGACTGTAATAGTTCATTTTCTATGTGGAGGTAACCAGAAGCACTAAAAATAAAACTTTAAAAAGGTAATTGATGGGCTAGAAGTGTAGCTTAGTGGTAGAGCACTTGCCTAGCGTGTCACAGGCCCTGGGCTTGAGTCCTAGCACTGCAGATACAAATAAAAAGTGATTGCCTTTGAGAAGAGAGCGAGCTGGGGAGAGGGAAGGGTAGGGTAGGATTGTGGCTAACCAGCCTTCCTTGCCTGCCTGTCTTCCTTCCCTCCCTCCTTTGTTCCCTCCCTCTCTCTTACCTTCCTCCCTCCCTCCCCAGTTTCTCTTTATGTGGCTCAAACTCAAAATCCTCCTGTGTGAGTTCCTCAAGTGATAGGATTACCAGGTATGTGCTACCACTACTGGACCAAGACAATGTGTTTCTCACAATCACATTTATTATACTGTCTAACATATAATTTATATATGACAAGATACAGTCAGTCCCTTAATTTTATGTTCCATTTCACGATTTTTCTTTTCTTTTCTTTTCTTTTCTTTTTTTTTTTTTTGGTTTTTTTGAGACAGGGTCTCCCTGTAGCCCCAGCTGACCTGGAACGCACTATATAAACCAGGCTGGCCTCCAACTCACAGAGATCCACCTGCCTCTGCCTCCTGAGTGATAGGATTAAAGGCATGAGCCACCACGCCCGGCTCAGGATATTTTTCTATTATTAAAAAAAAAAATGCTTGGGAGCTGGAGAGATGGCTCAATGGTTAAGAGCACTGACTGCTCTTGCAGAGGACCCGGGTTTGATTCCCAGCACCCACATGGTGGCTATGAACCATCCTTAACTCCAGTTCCAGGGGAATTCGAAGCCCTCTTATGACCTCTGCAGCATTGCATGACACAGGTGCACTCACATACATGCAGGCAATACACTCATACACATAAAATAAAAATAATTTTTTTTTAATGTTTAGGCTGGAGAGACGGCTCAGCAGTTAAGAACACTGTGTGCTCTTGCAAAAGACCTAGGTTCAGTTCCCAGCCCCCACATGGCAGCTAACAACCATCCTTAACTCCAGTTCCAGGGGATCTGACGCCCTCTTCTGTCCTCTTTGGGTACTGTGCAGCACAGTTGCACTTACATACATACAGGCAAAACACTCATACACATAAAAAGAAAATAAATTTAATTTTATTATTTTTACTTTTGTGTGTATGAATGTATTACCTGCATGTATGTAAGTGCACCCATGTCATGCAATGCCTGAAGAGGTTGGAAGAGGGTATCAGATCCCCTCAAACTGCAGTTAAAAACAGTTGTTAGCCTCCATATAGGTGCTGGGAATGGAATCCAGGTCCTCTTCAAGAGCAAGCAATGCTCCCAACCGCTGAGCCATCTCTCCAGCCCCTAAAAAAATTTTTTTTTTGTCTTTTTGAGACAGGGTCCCCCTGTAGCCCCACCTGTCCTGGAACTCACTATGTAGACCAGGCTGGCCTTGAACTCACAGAGATCCACCTGCCTCTGCCTCCCAAGCGCTGGGACTACAGCTGTGTGCCACCATGCCCAGCTTCTAAAAGAATTTTTTAAGTGCTGTGATTGAAATGCCTTTCAAAGAAACCTTTGTTTGACTGCATCTGTTACACTTTTAACGTAGATTCCTATATCAAACATGTCACACATTCTTCAGCTTCTCAGTAACTCTTACATGTGTATACATGGTGTACACCTGATATCCCATCACTTGGAATATAGAGAGGCAGGACTGCTACAAGTTTGAGTTCATCCAAGTCTACGTAGTGGAACCCTGTCTCCAAAAGTAAAGTCATCTTTGTCCTCTTAGTCACACTCAGTAGTGTGTACTTGATGTCACAAGCCCACCAGGAGCAGAGTACTCCTGATTCTATAAGTTAAAACTTTC